GACCACGTGAAAGTTTTGTCTCAAAGATCATTCGAAAGCCAGAAAATTAGGAGATTGAAATTTTGGATGGATATTCACCCTTCAAGGTTTCAAATTTAGCTTTTACGTGCCTGTCCGTGAAATTTTTGATTATTTTTCAGCATTTCAACTATTTTTGTACACACTAAAATACGAAGCAGTGAGAATCATTAATGGGCAATCGTTCAGTGGACAGAGTTGCACAAAACTCATGATCGCAGCGGCTGTTCTGGCGCGCTGATACTTATTATTGTTCTTGATTTGGCAAAATCGTCAGTTTGCGAAAGCCAAGTCTAAGGCGTAAAGTTTAGTCAAAAAACGCAAAATTTGCCCATGGAGTAAAGTTCGAGTCTTAACTAAGTTGGCAAAGTGGTGGGACCTGACTGTTGATTTCACGTTATGCGTCCCGAAATATTTAGTAATTAGGTTGAGGCAACCAGAGTTGTAAGTCGTCGATCGAGAATTTCCAGCTTGTTTTTTTTTTTATAATTTCCTTAAATTTATCTCAACCAATAAGGTCTGATTTCTTACTGTTTGCACTGAAGACATTTGTAATTTCTTCTTCCCGAACTATATACAAAAACAACTCAATTTGAACATAGAACCATAAGACCATAAACATACAGAGTATCAAAAATGCCCTTTCATTCAAAGGCAGCAAATTAAGAGCGTATCATATTTTGATAATCTGGACTCATCACTGCAAGTATATGAGAGCAGGACTTCCAAAAGTGATGTTTCTCTTCATCCGCGGCTTATGAAACACGAATAACAAGCGTCAGTGACCTTTTTGCTTTTTTCAGTACTAGTTGAATCAATATTAGTGTTCAGGAATGTTTCCAAAAATATTTGGGCCAGATAGAAAGTGCCGATGCTTTGGTGGAAGATGAAATCGTTGACAAATCATTAAGTACAATAATACATCGCATTCTGAAGGTGGGCTTTCAACAAACTTTTCTGAGAACTTCGACCTCATTGATCTCTCTGATTAAACTCATTTTAAATATTTTAATTACGCGATATTAATGTTATGATGTTACTAGAGCAGTAAAAAGATTTCGCAAGCAGCGATCGGAAAACAAATGCGATACTGCACGCGGGAAGTGAAAAAGAGAGCTGAAAAAAAAAAAAAATCAACATAAATGCAAACTGCTGCGATTTTCCCGGACAGATTGCACATCAAGAGGATTGACTTGAAAGAAGCTGAAATTTGCGTGTATTTTAACCAGTCAGCAAGCGCGCGGCTCAGTCTCTAACAGGACACTGCAAATAAAAGGCTGTTGGTCAATACAAATTGCACAACCCTCAAAGTGTCGAAGTAGACGATCGCGTGCACCTCTTCAGCACCATTGTGCTGAGTGTATGGACGGACTGACGCGAAGTCTGGCCATTGTTAGTGAACTACGGTGATATTTATATCAGAGCGATGAAATGGAGAACGTCTATACTGTATTCAGATTGCTCTTCGGTGAGGGGCGTATGAGATATCATCACAGCTATTCAAAAAAGTAAAATCTGACGGGTTGAATATGTTGCTAGTGCTATGAAGATCGGTGGCCGTAGCACATCAGTGATTGGTAAATAAGAGAAACTAAACGAGGGCATAGGTAGCCTTCGAAAAGCTGGTGCTCATAAGTACATCAAAGAAACGATAGACACTAAATGGAGCTCTACAGCTCAAGACAGAAGGATCCACACACCCACTGTTCGGACACTATTAGCTTATAGGCATAAAAGAAAGCAGAGTGGTTTTTGGTTAGTTTTCTAACTGCTCTTTTCTGTAGTCGTGGCTGAAGTTTTCGCTAAAGAATTTTGATAATTCGCTTAGTGATTTTTTGTGCCCGTTAAGCATAGCTAGCTCGTTTAAATCCTTGTGAGAGTTCAAACGATTTCCAAAATGACTCCCAAGTTCAAACGATTTCCAGCATGACTTCCAATTATTCTTCAGAAGAAACTGCCATCTGATAATTGAATGAGATTCCTCACTAGTTCGATTATCTGTTGGCAGAAGTGGAGAAACAGAGAAATCTTCGCACTCAAAGAAATAAAAGTTCTAGTGATCCCAAGGGATATAAAGACCCATCATGCAAATAGTAATGAATAGTAGGTGGGTTTTGTGAGCCCATAAGTCGCTGCTAGAAATTAATTGATCGAAGGTCTGCAAGTCGTTCAAACAAGAAGGAAATTTTGATCGATGAAAACTGCAACCTTATGCTAACATTATGCTTCGACATACCCTGCATTTTGACACAAAGACTTTTTATGTTCGTTTTAATAATATGACCATTCGAGCAAATGATGTGGTGTTTTTGAAAATAATTTCAGGTTGGCGTAAGGGATCACCAAGACGAAACGTCATCGTCGAGTTATCAGCAGCAAAAGAAGAGTTTGCAAGACACGCTTATTAGCCTTACATCCATTTGCCTCCAGTTTCTGGAAAAAACATCCGTTCGACAGTTTACTTTTTTATCAGCTCTCAATAAGGTTCTGATTCAAAGGGAGTTTAAAGCATTATGACTTGAATTTGGATTTGTTTCTGATGAACACTAGGAAGCGAACAGAATATGTGACCGCAGCAGCTTGCTAAGGTCTCGAGGAAATCCAATTATCCCAAATGAACTGAGACAAAAATCATAAGAATGTATAAATTCTTCAAGCAATAACAGGAGGGGAAGTCGAGAAAATTGATATTTTGAAATTTTAAAATATTCCAAGAAAAATTATTCAGCTTCTTCTTTCCTTCATCTTCTCGTTGTCCCTCAGCTCACCGCCCACGAACAAACATGGACACGTTTGCACACACTTCACTTTTGACACAATGTGCTTTTAAGCTAGTCCATATGTAAAAGCGCTTTGATTAAGATTGTTGATGTTGGCTTGGTATATGGTTTCTTCAAGCAGTCCAAAATAACAATACACACTTCCGGATTCAAGAACTGTTTCGCAACAGAAGATGACATTCAAACAACTGAGGATGCAATGGAAGCGGGAGCTGCCCTGAACTCTGCAAATTGTCGGAAAAAAACTGATGTCCAGTTGGACTCCAAAAACAGTCTAGAAAATGCGTTTTGCTCAATACCACCAGATTTGTGTAAGTTCTTAGATTTTCTAGGATATGAAATCTCCGTTTAAAAAAATCTTTTGTCTATAGCACTGAATCCGTGCTGTAGCAGGCGGAATATCCTTCTAAGAATTCAAGCCGACACCTCCCTCCCCCTCCCCCCCCCCAATAAAATAGCCGAAGTGAATAATTTGAACAGTGATGAAATGATGATTCAGTGCAAGTTTAAATTAGTATCAGATTCCGGGAATGAACTGAACCTCTTAAATAGATGTCACGTGGCAGTAATATTTGCGAAATAAGCAAATTTTGCACCTGATTTTTATGCATTCTTGCATACATGCAAATGCAACCCAGACTGAAACGGACCGGGCGGGCCCGTGCGGTCATATTTTTTTGCACCGGACTTGAAGCACTCAAGTCATTAACTGCATGAATGGCTGATGTTTTACACCTACCCGCAAAGGGTAGGTGTAAAACGCCATAAAGTTTGCATAAATTAAATGTACAATTTCCATTAAACGGCCGTTCTTTAAATGTAGCCTATCTGTTCAGTGAGAAATTTTTCCGCCAAAACTTTTAAGTGCCTGTACGTAGAAATCACGCATACTTTAAGGTTGAATTTGAAATGCTTAAATTGTACTTGGACAGGGAACATTCCCGCAAAATTTTAGCTTTCTAGCTTTCCTGGTCCTCGACTCAGTAGTTTTCCTGCCAAAACTTTCACACGCGCCTACGTGACTGCCACGCATAGCCGGGGGCCGAATTTGAAAACTTTAATTAACACATGCATAGGGAATATCTCCACAAGGTTTTAGCCCTTTACCCTGTCTGGTTTCGGAGATCGCTTTCACGTCAATAGATTTGCGTAATTTTAAATTGTCCATACGCGTCACCCAGGCGTCCGCGGGGGATGATATTAAAAAGAGAGTGTCGCGCAGGTATGGGCACATACTCCCAAAGTTTCAGCCTTCCAGCTTTTCTGGTTTTCAAGTTGAAAGGGGGTGACAAAAAGTGCGAACACACAGACACACACACATACAAGTCTGTTCCTAATACGCGTTTTTGCAATTTGAGTATATGCAAAAACGCACAAAGAAGCATATTGTGACGATCTATGGTGTATGTGTGATATGCGCCTGTCTTGATATTTCAATTTCACAACCAAGCAAGCTTCGGCGCTCAAATTTGCCATTGGGTTCCCTGGCCGAGTGCCACCACATGGTCGCGGTACTAACCCTCACGCACGTCTAGGCTCCGCCTGCAAACACGCGTAAGTTTTGACGGGAAAATCGCTAATTCGGGAACCAGGAAAGGTGGGAGATCGAAATTTTGAGGGGATATTCCCAGCCCGTGTACAACTTAAAGATTCCAAACACAGCTCCCAGGCGTGCGCAGTTCTCATGCACGGCCGCGTGAAAATTTTTGGTATGAAAATCGCTAACTCGGGACTGGAAAAGCTGAAAAGCTAAAATTTAACGGAATGTTCTCTGTTAAAGCGATACGTTGTTGCACAATTAAATTCCTGAAATTCTAGGGCCAGTATTTCACAAATTCTAGCTGTTTCTAAGCTATTTTGCTACAGTACGGAATATTGCAAAAACACACGATCGCACGTCCCCTCTAGTGCGTGTCGCCAAAGATTTCCATTATTTCAGTAATCGAAAGCCTCCGAAAAGCAGTTGAAGTGCAGTGCAGTGAGGTGAATGGAAGCAAACGATCCTACTGCACACCATCTAATCGGCTGCGGCGATGTTGGAAGCATTGCAGTCAGATTTTGGTGGCTAGACTTATCTTGTTTTTGTGCAATTTCAAGCGCTTCCTAAACCAGATAAGTGGAAAGATACATCTGAAGAAAATTACTGAACTACTTGATCCAACACTGGATCCAGTAAGTTTATCAACATTAAGTCTACATTTCCTGCACGTTTCAAAAGCCAAATTTACTTTTATTTCCAAATTAAAAAAGTCGAAAAAAGGAGCTGTTTTTCTTTTTTGTTTATCAAAGATTGTCCAAGTTTTTTTGTCAAGAATTAGAAAAGTTTTTGACTTATTTAGCAACTACTGTGCATTTTGTTACAAATGCTTGCTATGATCGCAATGAATCCATTTGTCCACCAAGTATTGACCGAACTGCAAATAGACGATGTTTTAATTCAGCTGCTTCTTCCTGCTGACGATTGGTAAGATTCACTAACTATATTAATTAATGCTAGTCTTTGTTTTGAGGATCATATTTCCATTTTCTTTATGCGTAAATTAATCAAGAATTCCAAAATCAAGCAAAAATTCATGATTTTTTTCTGGATCTGCATGCCTCCACAGTTTTTTACAGGTATTACACAAATCACAGTACGAAATACGCTCATTTTGTCAAGCAGCATGCAGCGAGGATTCTTGTTTATATTGGCTTAGGTGATAGGGTTGGTAGTCGTGTCAAGTTATTTCGTCCTCATGGTTTGTTTTCGTTATTTTTTTTTAGTAAACCAGCAGTTCTCATAAATTACATGCCTTTGACTGTTTGCATTTCTCAGCATACAAAGTAAGCTGCTTAGAATAAACATTCTTCTTTTTGAAGCATAACCCGCTAGTTGTTGTTAAACCGGAAAAAATTATTTTATTAGAAATAAACCAATAACGATCCTTCGGTGTAACAAGTAAAAAACGCAAACTAACTAATATTGGTGTACTTCCCCAGAAAATAAACTTTTATTCGCCATCGAAACCTGACTCTTTTTTGGATCGAAAGGAAAATTTGAAGTCGCCTCAGCAGATCTCACCAAAAACTGTTCCTTAACAATCATAACAGGATGGCATGCATACTATTTCATCATGATTTTGGAATTAACTGTGCAGTATAAAACCATCATCGCATGAAAAGTATCACCGGTTTGATGGAAAAATACAGTTGCTTTGATCAGCATGTTTTCGAGTTTTGTCTAAATTGTTTTGTATTTCAGCTCTAATTTTCTGTTTTCTGGGGATCTGTGCTCTCACCTCATGCAAGCGTACATATGCACACACACGCTTTTAAGCTTTTCAGGTAATGAATCGAGAGACATGATGATAATGCAGGATATTCCAAACGAAGATGAGTATATTCAACAGACATGTGGCTCAACGAGTTATAAGCAAACAAACAGTCTTTCTGCCATTTCAGTCGAGGGTTTATTGCAGAGAACTCTTGCTGAAGTAATTCTCAATTATGCATTTTTGCATGCATGCAAATGCAGCCCAGGCTGGAACGCACCAGGCTTGTCGGTGCGATCATGCGTTTTTGCATTAAACTTGCAGATCGCTAACAACAGGAATGATTTAAGGCTTCAAATTCAATTGCCAAGTATTCTTGGTCCTTAAGTATGGGCAAGCGAAAGTTTTATGCGATTTCTTCGTCTTTTCCACATTTTACTTCTTGACCAATTTGCACATTCAACGGCCGACCGGTAATAACCAATTTTTCATTTCTCTTCATTCAAAATTTATAGTAATCATGCAAGCTGAAGGTTTAGATTACATGCAATCTCATGAAGTACTGCCGTCCTAGCTGACGCCTTTTCTTCCTGTATGTAGAAAACCAACAACACTGTCAAAACAAGTGCAAATATTAGGCTGTAAAGCAGTAACAATTTGTGCTGTTAAAGATTTGGTCACTTCAATTTTAGTGCAAAACGAATGGTTGCACTTGCAAGCGTGAGGCGTCGCTACCTAATTTTTTTGTCTCCAGATTACTCATAACGACGTAAATATCCTAAATCTTCATGTGTTATTTTTTTTCAGTTGGAGAAACTGACGAAGAATGCAGATGCAGAGAGCACTTTATTCAAAGGTATTTCAAAAGTAAGTGAACCATTATTCTTCTGTTGAAAATGTTCATTTGTTTACCAATATGCAAGCTTTTTAGACCTGTTCACCGTGAATCAGGATGACATGCAGCAACGTTTTGATCGGCAGAGCTTTAGTAACACGACCCACTGTTAGCTGATCAGCAAAATGAGCTCATCTCATTCGAATCCATGAGGGAGGCCCAGTTACAGCTAGGCTAAGGGCCAAGCTTGTCTGAGAATGCCAGCAGTAAGGCCAAATTTATGTAAATTCCACAAATCCGGCGATAATTTTTTTATATTCGGCTTAGTAATTCCTTATCCCTTTCCTTTTTGAATTCTTGTTTTTTCAGGAGATAACAGGATGATCTTGGTCTCTGATAATCTTTCATAAAGCAGACTTTAAAACTTTTAATTTCCTGAGCCAAAAAAGCAGTTCATTTCCAGCTATTCACGATCGTGTTTATTTGAAAATGTGATTTTCGCAGCATGTTGATATCAGTGCAAAAAATTCGTAGTTAGCGAGACCTTTCTTGAAATGGTTTTCAGGAAGGCAGTTTGGATTCAGCCACATTAGGATATTGGAATGGCTTTGTGACAAAAATAACTTTTGGTAATCTAAGTGAATACCTCACAATGTTAAGTCTGATTGTGGATTCGGAACTGTTGCTGCGCTTGCATCTTCATAAACTTTCCTGGGATCTGAACTTGGTGGTAAAGAGAAGACTGTCCAACATCAGTAACAGCAGAAAAAAGCCTGCCGCGAATCATCAAGATGCTTCAACCAGCTGCGCACAGCTTATTGATAAGTGCGATTAATTTTTAAAATTCAAGATTTGATTTCTTGAAAAATCCCTAAATTATCTTGCTAAAAATTGACAGGTGCTCTCAGTGGTGATACTGTAACTGATACTTTAATTTAGTCTCAATCTAGACAGCCTGAAGAATTAGGAATATTAAAAGCTAATTTACTGAGAGCAATTTAGAGATTCCACTGGAACTTCATCGGTCGAGCAGCAAGCTGGCGATAAAAAGCGAAGGGAAAGCAGTGCATTCCAAATGTTGGGACGTGGTTTGAAGTTGAACTATGAAATTAACATAAGACGTTGTCGGTCTGAAAGAGTTTCTCGCATTGACAGTGAGACGAAGCAAAATTTGAGACGAATTAAGCTGAAACCCAGGTTGGCTTCACTTTTTTTTTTTTTGATGACTACAGCACTGATAGTGCATGAAGATCGCTCAAGCGTTGTGTAGCAAACTTTCCGATTTAGATGCAACGGTTTGCCAAACAGTCTTCCCCAACCCTCTACGTTTTGATTCACTTGCCACAACCGCGTGATCTGTCTCTAATTACTACTTCTGTCCTAGCTGATTTTTGCCATTCAAAACCAATCAAAACAAACTTGAGTGAAAGTAAATAATAGTTAAAACCACTAGAGATGAAAAAAAAAGCGCGATATGGGTCCCAAACATTTTGGATATTTAAAAAGAGAAAGGACTGGGCGAGTTAAGAAGAGGATGAAAGGTGTAAAACTAAATGATGCAAAAAAAGATATTTTCCCAGAATAGCAGCGGAAGTAGCGATGAATTCAATCCTGGCACAACGAGGAAAGAAAACATCGCTTTCAAGTCCAAGCGTAAGGCATCTTCCCAAATATCTCCAGAACCTTTTCCGAAGCCGACTCGGAACTGATCCATCAAAGATCTCCAACAGACATGCTGGTTTGCACTCACTGTATTACTTTCAATGTTTTGCTTGTAACGCGGACACATCAGCTGGCAATTACAGTCCAGAAGTTTTCCTTTCCCTCCGCTTTGCTGCTTCTTTAACTTGTTTCCTGTTGTTTTTAAGTTGAGAATGCACTCACAAGGAGGGTCACTTGCGGTAACGATGGTACTGTCTGCGTAGAGGTCGAATTAGGGAACAGACTGCCAGAAATTTAGCGTACCCATATGTGAAAGTTTAATTTAAATTCCTTGGGTTGCACATTCACGAGAAATATCCTCTCAAATATTTATGTCTTTTTGGTTCCCAAGTTAGATAATTTCTTATGTGACGTTCTGCATGTCCGTACTTTGACTTGGCATGCGCTGGAACTGATTTGAATTTTCGTGGATGCATGTGGACGCTGAACATGCTCTTAAAATTTCAGCATGCTGGTTGCTAATTTAGAAAAATGTAAACAAGAATCCGAACTTACACACACACACGGGGTCTCGATGAAGCTTTGTAGCGCAAAAACGTACGAAAATTAACAAAGCAACTTTTAAGTCACGGGGGGTTGTAAAACACTGTCCAGTCTGTTGCGAAACAAGTTTTCCAAATACTTCGATGGTGCAATTTTGCCGCGAGAGTTTTACAATGTGGCTTGCGTGATACAGGTTCCCTGCCGAAGTTTTGAATTCCAGTCCCTTAGATTATGGCATCAAAATTGGCAGGTAATGTGCAGTAAATTTATGTATAGCATTGACAGCAACAAGTAGTTGTATAGCGAATTCATCCGAGCCGTGTCAAAAAGAGTGGACTGTGGTAGTCCAGACTGTGACTTTTTGTTTTCAACCATACTGTGCAAAACCTAGCGGGAAAAACTCGTGAAAGAAGACAGGAATAAGAGGAAGGAATTCTTCATCACTCTGTCTGGAACTTTCATTTTGGGTTCTGTTTGAAATTTTCGGCTAATTTTGCATTGCAGCTGAAACGAGTTCTGGAAGTATGACGAGCAGTTCGGAAGCAGCTATCGAATTCACTCGCACTCTTCAAAACTATCCGCTGGCTCGTAGAGAAGCTTTGCGTCTTAAGCACCGACCAGAAAGATCTCTTGAATCGCCAGAACCATTGATCAGCGACACAACAGACGACCTGAGAAATACAAGCATACCTGAGATTGATGTTTACAGCACCAATTTGCCAGGGTTTGTGTGAAAGATTTTTTCAAAGTGCGAAAAACAACCGAGCGAACGCTTAGTACGCCAAACAGTTGCAGCTTCAAAGAACGAATAGTGCTTACTAGGTGAACAGAACACGTGAGTACGTGCTAGTTTCTGAGGTTGCCGAATTCAAGCGACAGCTAGCATCCTTGCCCCATAAAGTTGCGACAATAAATAATTATTTCGCGGAAATTTTATAAGATTATTGTCGCCTTCACGAACACATAGTTTCGAAATAGCGATTTTATAAGTTATGCACCCTCTTTTTTTCCATTTCTACCTTTGAACAACGTCGGTGCTCTGTGCATTACCGCCAAGTTGGCATAGATTTCTCTGAACATTATTTTCTGTAGGTCACCGGATTGGAATCCTCTTGGGTCCGCTACAACTAGTCACCGACGATTATCTATGGAATTATGCATCAACGCAGCCATAAACTGCCTAGCTGAGCCGTCTAGAGGCTTACCTCTATTACCGATGATTGAAGTTCAGCGGCCATCAATTATGTCAACAACGTGCAATGGGCCGTTTGGCGCTTTTATCAGTACCACTGATTCGACAAATTTTATGTATCTTTGTGCGGGCGATGTCCAGTCGCAGCCGCCATCTAGGAATTCTTCTTTTAATTTGATTTCTGAAGGTAATCTTTTATGAAACTGTGTGTGTTTTTGTGACCCAGCCAATTTGCATCTGACATGACAGGCATGCAACTGCTGCTTTTCAGAAAGCTCACTGGATCGCCAGTCATTTGCCAGCCAGTATTCGTTCACCATCCCAAGTTGGCACTCTTCGCAGCTTAGTGAACTGCGACAACCAATACGGACAGCGCGAACAAGTTTCACCTCAGATACCACATTTTTGTTCCCCTACGACCGTGAACTGTTCCGTCGTGGACGCACTGGAAGTGGCACTGCACCAACAAAATCTCTTCTTTTGAGGCATCAGTCCGCTTTGAGTTTGGACAGTGCTGATAAAATTAGGGAGGTAATACATTAGTGAACTTTCGTATCGAATGTTAATATTCGGCTACATTTTGTCGTCTTTTGTTTGAGACAGGGAAGGAAGGCGGGGGAGGGGGTAGTGGGAAGGGACAAATATAACTAAATTTAGCTTCTGCTTATTCGGTCCTTGCTACATTTTATGAATAATTGGTCAACGCACGGGCTGCCCGTGCGAAGATGCGTTTTTTGCAGAGTTCCCCACAGTTTTTTTCGCTGCCGGCATCGGTTTTATCGGCAGATGCTTCTAGCTGAAAGAATTTTAGATTGGCCGCCAGAACTGTCAGGAAACATCCCCTCAAAATTCCAGTCTTCT